GTAAAAGACAAAATATCGGTCGAATTTAAGAATTTTAATAAATGTGTAATTTCGCATATATATATATAGTTTATATTATATAATAAAGCTAATCAATTGTAGAATATATATACATACATACATATATTAATTCTGATTGATATATATTTGTAGCTTTATAAATGAAACAACAAATTAATCTTGTGTTCAAGCATTTTTCTTATAATGTGTACATCCAATACAAACCTTACATATGTGTAACATACACCCCCTCTATTTAAATTTGTATATGTACACATATGTGGGAACACGTTTTATGTATATATACATATGTAAGAAAAAATAAAAAAAAGGTATATATATATTTATATTTATTAGTACTTACATGGTGCATTCAATTATGTAATTTAATATCCTTTTTCAAAGATAAAATTACAAACGTTTTACACACAACTTCGTTAACTTTCTAAAAAAAAAACCAAAAGCTTATCCTGAAAATGTTTTCTCTTTCTCTTATTGCTAAAATAATGACCGATCGTGCTCATTTTTAATATTATCACCCCAGATCGCACCTATCATAAGTCCAATTTTGGCCAAAAACCGGTTGTTTCACTTATTATAGATTTTAGTATATTCTTTGTTTTTGGTTGCTGATGTGAAAACATTGGCTCCTCGCATAAAATTTTAAAATTTAAAGAATGAATTCTTCGAAAATTTTAAATGAATATAGGGTACGAATTTAGAAAATTTTTAATATAAAACAATTCTAGGATATTATTTTTTTAAAAAACTGGTGTTTAGAATACGATTATAAGTAAAAAGAGTGCGCAATTCGAAAAATATATATAACCAACTTTTATTAATTAAATTTTTTTTAATGATTAAACAAACTTTAAAATTGCACTAAGGATCGGCTACATGTTATGATCAATACGAGTAGAATAATTTAATAATAAAATTAAAGAGACTAAAAAGCTTTAGCAGACTGTAATATAATATTATAATTGATATCAATTTAGAGAGATATAGAGAAAGAGAGGGAGGGGTGAGAGGAATAATTAAATTTAGAATAATACATATTATAAATTACAATACGCTTTTTGCGTTCGCGTTACATCTAATAAGGCAAAAACAAATATACGTGAAAGAAAATGGTGATACATATATCTAATTGATAAAATTTAATGAAAAAAAAGTTTGTTAATTATTCCACTATATTCAGTCATACACTGAAAATCAGTTTCATCCACTATTGCCTAAATATATTGCCTGTAATTTTTGGTCTTGCTGTCGAAATCGCTATACGAATATTGAGTCAGAACAATATTGCCGGGATTTGAACTTTTTGTAATTATATTTGACATTTTATGAGCAGATAAAATCGAACATATTATATTATTATTTACATCTTCATTATCAATTTTAAATTTTAATTGACGAGGTGGACGACTCTCATACTTTCATATTCTCTGTACCTTAATACCAGTGTCTTGAGGGGAAATTACAGACTTAGGTACCACCTTAGGAGGATGGGCTCAGATAGTGAGGATACGTGCAGATTTTGCGAAAAGGATGAGAAAACCCTAGTGAATCTTCTGGGGTCCTCACCCGCAGAAGAAAGGAAATACTGGGGAACTACGCATTCACTTGTAAAAGCGGGGCTGCGGTCTGCGAACCTTTTTGATTACTCGAATTTATCAGGGGGCTGGGTCTGAAGAGGGTAATGTAGGGGCGTATCCCACACCTAGAGGGGGACACAATAGATCCTTTATGTTGGTCGCAGTACGCTTTTACCCCATCTGTACAAACTACAATCTAAACGTCCACATATTAATACCACAATTTTAAAGTTACAATATGTAATTAATTTGAAATATTATTAAAATTTATATATGGTACATCCATTACATACATTCATAATAAAAACCAAAACATATATAAAACTACTTTTATTCATAAACTGCGAATCTAATAAAAACAATGGAAGCAAATGCTTTTGTATTTATAAGGATTGTTAAAAACCCGCAAAACATATATGTATACATAAATATGAAACAATTTAATATTATTAAAAAAACAAAACCTCGAGACTTTGTATCATTTTATTATATTTAAAATTATGTTCAAAATAATATATAAAATGGGATACTGTATATCAGAAATTGTATGCGGTTAAAACATAAAAAATAAATAACGCTATGCATTCAATGTCAATTATGCTTTGGGCGCACTTAAATAATTGCGGGAATAGATCATTTTTTAAAAATAAATATTACAAACATTATGTCAGTCAGGTATATGAGAGAAATCTCTCATACAGTATATCTTCTCTTTCTACCCCCGTATAATGTTTAAACTTTTTAAATGGAATATAATCTATTTATATATACACATATAAATACATATGCATATGTATAACATGACTATTATATTCTGATATAAAAGATGATAAATTCTGATTGTGTAATAATAATATGATGACAGTGATATATTATAATAGTATAGTTGGTTGATTGTGACGATAGTAAAAAATATTTAAAAGAATTAGTTTTTGTTGTTGCTGTTGTTTTTTTGAGTAAATTAAAAAATTTTAAAATTCATTAAAGTGGAAAAAAGATCTCTTCTTTTTCTTTTCGTCATTTATAGATATTATTTTTGCCTTCAAGACTTTTCAGGGTTATTTAAATGGCAGGTAAAATAAGAAATAAAAAAAAAAAACAGAAAAGAGAAAAAAATGTTGATAGGCAGACAGTTATTAGACAATCAGCAAGCCAGCCAGCCAGCCATCTAAAGAGTTAAATAAAATATATATGTATGTATGGATATTTGGCTATATATATATATATTATGTATTATATTTTAAAATAGATGTATCAAGTTGTAGGTGCAAGACCGTAAAAATTTATTACTCTTTTAATTTCTATTTTTTTGTTCTTTTTGATCAAAAAGTTTTTAACAATATTAATTTTTCATAATGCTACTATATTCTAAGAGCTACTGGCAAAATAAAATTTAATATCAGATGTTAAAAACCTTTTGTTATCTTTTATACTCAGTATTTAGGAATTGAATGTTATTTTAATTGAAACGTTATTTTAGCTGGATCCATAGAAAGTGATGGAACTTGCCGATTAAAATTAAAATTACAGCATTAGAAAACCTCAGTGCACCTTTTCTGGAGATTATGTGGGATACTCATCCACAGGAGAAGGGACTTACTGGTCGAATATGTATTCATTCTAACGGAGCTGCGTCGGTCTGCCAGGCCTTGCAAATTGATCAAGGGGTGGATGGAAAAGAGTTGTGGGAGGGGGGAGAGGGTAGAGGGAGGCTCATGAGAGAGTGATAAAGGGGTATGTCAAACAATATATCCTAATAAGTTGGTCGCGTTGCTCTGTTACCTCATCTCTACGTACAATCTACACAATCTATCATCGATTACAAAACGATTTTTTCTTTTATCGCTAACAATTATTAGAGAGAGAAAATTGAATATTAATAGAATTTATATATATCAAATGTATACAATCGAATATTTACTATATTATATATATATTTTTTTTTTAACTATAATTATATATTTTTAAAAAAACTCGATTCGTATAACGTGAAATTTTAACACGGTCTATTGTATTGCTATTTACATAATTATTATATATAATTACATTACGTTAAAATTTTAATTAAGCTGAATTATTATATTAAAAATAACAGTAAATTAAGTTTTTCCGATATCAAAACCTCTATAATTTTAATCATAGTGATTCTTATATGATGTTCAATGAACACAGGCCAAGTTTAATTACTTAATTACAGTAAAAACTATCAGAGGGAAAATCGAAAGAGACCGTTTCAGTTTTTTTCCGGCAACGACAGATTTTCGTCGTTTACATGGTCTCGCTTTCACAGGTTTTACTTTATACATATATGTTAATCCACGCATCCATTAATTAATTACTGATCCGCGCATAAAAAATAAGTTGTCATGACCAGTATGTTACTTTTATTTATACAATATATACAATTATAACATATTATATTACATATTATAATATAATAGGTAGGTTGGACGTACGTACATAAATACATGTATATACTATAATGTAATTTAATATGTTTTTTTAAATGAAAGAAAGGAATTTAACATTAACTTTTAACCATTTGTTTCATTTGTTTTTCTTTTTTTATATTAAGATTAATAAGAATATAATTATTAAACTGAATATACATACATATATTGTATAAATATACAGACGTTTCTTGTATAAAAAATGATACAATGTATATAGGAAAAAAAGGAATAGCAAGTATAATAAAACCTCAGAAATTTAAGTTATAAGAGACTATGGGGCATAATATAGGGATATCTTATGGTACGTACCGAAATATTTACTTTCACGCTAATAAAAACGAAATATAGAAAATATAATTGCACTTATTTCAAAAATTTGCGTTTTCCTATATCTGTGCAAGTAATTGTAAATGACTACGATATTTTTAATTCTTAATAAAAATTTTTCGTTCTTTAATAAATTTTGCCAATTATTGAGACTTTTCAATTATTGTACTTTAACATCGAGAACGATGTTAGAAACGAAGTAAACATAGTGGAATCTCATTTTGAAAATATTAGGAAATTCACATTTTACAAGCATTTTTACAAATATTTCGTCGAAAATAAAGAGATATACGTATGTACTTTTTCATGCATTTTATAATATATAAGAATATCAGTAATATTTTGACTGAATAATCGCAATACGGAAGCGGCACAGTTAAAATTATATAATATTTCGCTATTCAGCTTATAAGTTCATATTACCGAATTATATGTAATGAAAATATATTAATGTAATTCCAGGTTCAGGTTATACTTTTATATCACTTTATATATAAAAGATAACGACGAAAATTATTTTATTTACTCGCAGTAAATAATGCAATAATACAGTAATTACAATAAATTATATTAATTTACAATAAATAACAATAACAGAAATAATAAAAAAAAGAAAACTAACCTCTTTTTTGTAATTCATCACGTGTTATTTGACCAGTTAAATTACTTGCTGGCGTTGGTGGCAATGCTGTTAAATGAGCTGGTGTTGCACCACTTGGATACCATGTCCAACCACCTGATTGTCCATTAAACATACGTAACTTATCATAAACCGATTCATTCTGTTGTTGAGCTTGTTGTTCTTTTTGTGATGCTAAATTCCTTAAAACACGATTAATTGATGAAACCTGCAAATGTATATTCATTATCATTAGTAATATCATTTAAATTAAATAAAATATATGAAAATTGGTATTTTGTATTAAAATTAGTATACATATATCTTGCATTTCAAAATTGCAATTATAACTTATAATTGCCTAAATTTATTTAGCAAAGCATTTCTTACTAAAATTTTTAAAAGTCATGGTATTTTTCTCTCATGTAATCTCATGGAGGCCAAATTCAAAATAACAGTTTCTAAGGAGGCTGCACAAATTTTAATACTAATAAATGTAGCTTTTATAAAGTTTTATTTAACACTTTTGTCAGCTTTTGTACAATTTAATTTTTATTTATTTCAAATTAAATTTTTTTTTATTTAAACAAAAAATTAATTCAATGAAAAGTAAATAATTAAAATAAACAACTTCAAATTCATTAATAAATTTAATTTAAGTTAGACTATATTTAATGAGATATTTGCATTTGTTTTTTACTCGAAAGCAATTGAATATTTAAAGGGCAGACAAATACAAAAGAGGCCTCGAGGCCGCAGGATCCTCACCTCTGCTATATATAATAAAAAAAATATAACGAAAATAACTTTACACTATTGCAGGACTATGTATTACATACATTCTTATTGTTACCTGCATTCAACAATTACAGCTTATAAATACAATTATATATTAAAATGAACTTTAATATTTATTTAGACTTTTCACATCATTTTCAATTATATGTTCATTCGCCTGCATGTGATAGGTGATATATGAGACATATTTTTAATTTATCTAATCCTTTTAATTCGTTTAACTGTCATTCTGATTGTTTTAGAATTGAATTAATCTCTGAATTTAAATATTTAGTTACTGATCGACTCCAAACTGGACTGGTCGATGCATTTACGATACTTGTGTTAACAAGTACGCCTTAAAATTAATTGTATCACCTTGTAATTGTTCCTCGTTTGAGAACTCTACATTTTTCTCATTCTTATACAATTGGGGCACCTCGTTTATTTCATATACTATAGCCGAGTATATGAGAAAAATTAGAGCATTACTTAAATTCCTAAGTGAAATCAAAAATTGACTTGTGTATATGAGCCATGGACCAATTAAAAAGCTGTTAAAGTTTAATATTTTTAAATTATAAGCTGTTAAGTTTTGCAATTCTTTAATATGCATCACAAACAACTGGTTTGACCTAACTTTATTATACTTTGGTTTTCTTTAGATATTAATGTTTTCTTATTTTGGTATTAACTATACATAATTTTCTTCTTTTTAGCACTTTTCCAAAAAATTTTTGAAAAAAAATTCCTTATTATATCCGTCCGTCCGTCCGTGGACATGTTTACAAAACTTCTACACCCTTGAAGACTATTTAACTGAAATTTTAAGTACGCATAGATCCTTACTAGAAACTTATTTCTATTTATTGTAGTGAAACCATAAACATTTTTTAAATTTTCCAAACGCAGAAATATAGTGGCTGGCTTCTCTTATCGCGACATACCACATTTGAACTTTAAAAAAGTAAACTTTCTGCTTAAATTTACCGTTATCTGAAACCCGTTTTTCCCAAATTTTTGATATCGTTTTTCTTGTAGACCCCAGGTTGTGAAAATCTGAAATTTTAACAGCTTTTAAACATTAATAAATAGTGCATTTCGTTAGAACATTTTTTCCTTCTAAAGAAAAATGGTGTTTCTGGAAATGCAGTTCTTAAGACTGTGCAAAGCTTTCAAAGCTCTTCATTTATTTTGGATATATGTACATAAATTGTAACCATATAAGAACTGTGTTTTTAGAAATACTAGTTTTTTATTTTTAATATATAGCGCTCAAATTATCACAATAATATACGTTTTTCCACTAATTGCAAACTAAAATTTTTCTAATTTTGGGGTAGATAGTTTTCTGCATATCAGCTTTTAATATTGCACTTTATTACTTTGGTTTCTCAATAAGTTTAATATTTGAATTGTCCTTTCACTTATTCCGAATCTAAGATATTATAATTGAATATGTACAGTTAAGCAAGTACTTTGAACATGTACAGTTAAACGAATACTTGTATTTGGCAAAAAAATTACAATTCTGCTGTTGCTTATAGACTTTTATATTATAGGAAAAATGGAAAAACTTGTCAAACGTGACACCTGGAGGAAGAAGCTATAAATTTTTGAATTTTTTTTTATATTTGCAAACCAGCAATGCAAGAAATTGTGAAATTTCTGTCAAAAATGTCTTTACATTCATTTTTTCATTTTCTATAGTTTGACCAGCTCTTATATAATATATATACATATATTAAGATGGACACAATATGTATAATCGTACAATTTAATTGATTTTGTACAACGAAAATCTTAATCATGATTCTATTTTAGATATAATAATGAAAAGGATAAGAAACTTCATCATTAAATAAAAATACAATCATTTTTCTATATGCACATTCCGGAAAACTGTTTGACCTGGAAAACTATTTCAGTCCCTGCATTTCCAGCTAAATGTACGTTTATACCCATGTAGTTTTATGACAAAACGCACAGGGGAATTATTTCTTAATATTCACAAATGGTTTAAACGTTTGTATGTATATATGTATACAACTAATTATGTTTGTCATATATTGTATATATAAGTATATTTATTCTTAAAAATCCATGGGAAATGTAATAAAAATAAAAATTATAACAAAAAAGTGATTTAAGTCAAAGATCTTTTATTTTTTTTATTTTCATTCTTTTTATAATTATTATTTCAAATATCCCGAAATATACACAAATTCCCATCGATTTCAATCAAAATTACATGACATATTATGTACTTTTATTCTTGTATTATTGTGTATGCTGCGTGTACATTGTTTTTACCTTTTCAAAGAAATCACAAAACTCATATAACAAAGAGTTTAAGGTAAGTAAATACAGAAGTAAGTAAATAATTTAAAATAAGAAAGAATTTTATAAATATACATATATCAGAATTCGATTGTGAAATTATAAGAAATAAAAAAAAGAGAAATAAAATAAATAATTATTCAAAATAACAAAAGAATCCTTACTGTGTTTACATTTTATAGCATATTATACATTTTATAGCACTTTTATACAATAGTGATATAACAATAACCTATACAATAAAATTTATAAGTATAAGGAGAGATCAAAAGAATCAATAATAATAATAAAATATAAAAAATTATAATAATTGTTTTGTTGGAATAAAATTGAGAACTTAAAATGAGCGAGCAAGCGAATAATTATTATTATTATAATTTTTTGACAAAGAAAATACCAAAAAACAAAACAATACAACAAATATCGGAAAAAGAGAACTTTTGTGAGAAAAATTCCGAGTTTTTTTGTTTTTTGTTGATTCTCGTTTCTCTTTTTATTTTTACTGTTTTGTGATGCGATCGAGAGAAACAATAAATTTTTTCTGTTTTTTATTTTCTATAAAGGAAAGTAACGACAATAATCTGCAAAATAAAAGCCCTAACAACCTGAAGAAAAAAAAGAATGAAAAGAAAATTCGCCACATGTGATTAAAATTAATAAATATTTTATTAAAACACAAACACACACATCTAAACAAAAAAGTAAAATTGGAAGGACTTCTCTAGAACTCAAATTTAAAGAATCTAAACTTCTTACGAAATCCTTATTGAATAGTGGCGAAGTTTTGTCTTCACATTTCATTGCTTCATATTAACCATTACAATGTGCAATAAAATGTTATATGCAATAAAATGATACACCCGATCTGATAAACATGAACTATCAACATGATTTATCAGATCGGGATAAAAACAGATAGGAATAAATACAGTTATCCAAAAAATTATTTGCATATGCAAATTTTTAAGTCTTTCTTTCAATAATGAGCCGTATTCTTGTAAAAATCAATCAAATTCAAATCATGTTAGGTAAATTAATTTAAAAATAAAGTTGGGTCAAACCAATGGTTTGTATTGTAGCACTTTTCCCTTCAACAATTAGTAAAAATACTGCTTTTAAATACAATCTATGTATACCTATCACACTATTAAAAATATTTTCATTCATATACAAAACTATTTCTATGATTGCATATATTTAGGATGAACGATTTATGCAGTCTTTGAAATAAAGCAAAATTAATTTAAAGAGGGGTTAACATAATGCTCTATTTTAAGGGTTAATTGTGTGAGTTAAGAAAAATAATTATATTTTTTAATGTCATGGAATTTACCGTTAGCTTTTTGCGTTTATAGAAATTTGAAAAAGCTTGCGGTTTCGGAAATATAAGGTATCAAAAATTCAATTTTTACAAATTTCAAGAGGTGATAACTTGAGAGGCGGTGGAGATGGAAAAAAATTTTCTTCTAACGAAATGAACTTTTTGTTAGTGTCTAAAAGCTACTAAAATTTGAGGCTCCCACAATCTGGGGTCTAGAAGAAAAACGACATCAAGAATTTGGAAAAAACGGATTTTAGATAACGGTGAATTTGAACGGCCATTTTGTTTTTTTAAAGTTTAACTATAGTATACCGCGATAAGAGAAGCAAGAAACTGCCTTTGTGCGTTTGTAAAATTTGAAAAATGCTTATGGTTTCACTACAATAAATAGTTAAAAAAGGCCATTTTTAGGGTTTTGGGGGGGTATAACTTCTAGAGGGGGGGAGATAGGTAAAAATTTTGTTCTACGGAAATAAGTTTCTAGTAAGGATCTATGTACGTATTAAATTTCAGCTTTCTATCTTTAAGAGTGAGAAGTTTTGTAAACAAAAGAAGTGTCCACGGACGGACGGACGGACAGAGTAAAACTAATAAGCACTTTTTTCCAAAAAATTTTTGGAAAAGTGCTAAAACTTATAATTAATTTAAAGTTTTCATAATAAAATTTTAAAAAGTTTAGCATATTTTAGCAAAAACAAAATCTCAAAAATTATTTGTGCATAAAAGAAAATCTGAGATAAAAATCAAATAAAGAAAAAAAATTTGATATTATAATCAAATGCAAAGTAAAA